GATCTTGCTGAAGGAAAGGATATCTCTTTCTCAGGGTACACACACACACACACACACACACACACACACACACGCACACACACCCCTTCCCTTAGGGCAGGAATATGATTGCCCTGTTTTGAGTACTGTTGGTTTCAGGGGCACTAGGTACTCTGGTTGGTTGGATTGGGGTCAGGTGACAGCCCGTGCCTGGGGGTGGGGTGAGATCTAGTTCCAGCTAAAGAGGGGGTCACAGCCAGGACGAGCCCGGTTCCCTCCCTTCCCTCTCCTCTTCGCCCCCGCCTTCCCCTGCCCTTCCACGAGTACATGCTCCTCTGGAGGTGGGTGAGTGGAAGTGACAACCTTACAAGTGTCGTCTGCCTGCGAGAGTCTGCATCTGCACCAGACGCCCAAAGGTGTACCGCCGAGCTTCTGTTTGGATGTCGGTCGCCTTCTTCTGCCTTCTGTGTCCTGAGCGCACTGCTGGGCGGGTGGCCCGCTGGCCTGCGTGTGTATGGGGTCTGTGCCACAGGGCCCGTGGGCCTCTGTCAGTCAGCACAGCTGACGCCGCATCCTTGTCAACACACGGCAGGCTCTGTTTGACCCAGTTTTTCTGACTCAGACCCTCGGAGGAGATGGAATCCACACTTTCGAAACCTTTTGTGATGAGAGGGCACTTTGCCCCTGCCTTGGCTAGGGGACACCCCTTCCCTTCTCCTTCTCATGCCTCCCAGGTGCCAGTGGGAGGGTGGCTGGTGGGGAGGTGGCCCTACAGCCGTGGACCCCATTTCTATGGGCATCGGAGCGCTTTTCCTCCACAGGCTGGGCCAGGCTGCCGTCCCCTCCGATACCCTCCCACCCCAGTCTGAGGGAGCATTTTTGGGTAGGGGAGAGCCCTGTGCTCCTCAAACACGATTTCTCTCAAATGTTTGGATTCTTCCCTCAATCCTCTCCCTTCTTTAAAGACTCAGGCCTTTGAGAACTCAAGCCCACGTCACCTTTATATTTTTCCTGTGTCTGTGTCTTTCCTTCCCTGAGGCAAAGGACACAGGACATCTGGCTGCTCGACCTGAAGCAAGGGGCAAATCTTTGCCAAAGGGTCCGTGGGATTTCTCCGGGAAGAGCCAAGCCAGCGGCCTCGCTCCAGGGCCTGGGAGCTTGCTGTGTTTGCAAACCAGGGCAGAAGGGCTTTGCTTCCTGGTTCACAAGCCTGGGTTGATTTACATCCCCGGGTCTCTCCTGGAGTCCCTTCCCTCTGGCATGTTCACCCTTCAAAGGGATGAAGGGAAGAGATGGGATAAACATAGCACAGGGCGTTGCCTCCCTGCTCAGTGGATCAAAACTCCTAATTCCTGTCAGCCTCTGGGAGCCTCAGACTCTATACTTTACATAAGCCTTAATGAGCACTTTGAGGAGTGACAGGTTGGGGGGGGGGCGCTTATTTTTAACCAGATGCTGAGTGCTCCTGAGCAGGGCAAGGTGTCTCACTGCCCCTCTCCCCCAGGGAGGGCTTAAGCAGACTTAAAGGTGTCCTTCGGTGGCCTGTGGTCCCATGGAGAAACTTTCATGGAGTCATACCCACATTAGGGAACACAGCCTGGGCTGTGTTGGCCAGTTGTTTTTGGTCTTCTGGGCCTTGTTGGGAGGGAGGGAGACACACTGTGATGGGCAGAGGAGGCCGGCTGTGCTTCCTCAAGTGTGTGAGCACGCGTCCTTTAGGCATAGCTCTAGGAACTAATTGGGGGTTTTTGCCCAGGAAGTGTCACTAGGATTTGTGGATCCCTATTGCGAGCCATCAGAAGGTGACAAGTCGCTGGAGAATTTGCTGCGTAACCACTGGTTACCCGGAGACCTGGACAGAGATGCCACTCCCGAGTCCCTCAGCACCCCAGCCGGGTCTGCACCGCGTCTGTCTGGGCCCGGGGCGTGGGGCACAGAGTCTGAAGAAGCTCCGTAGCAACACAGGGTGCCCGAGCCGGGCCTCCTTCCACGCTGTGACAAGAAGGGAAGCAAGCCACATGTTTCTGCCGATCCTGCACTGAGATGCAGCGGGGACGGCTTGTGTTTCCTGCAAACTCACCAAAATTTTGGAACCTGATGGTGCCATCTGAAGGAATTTTAGAAAATCGGGGCCCAGCAGGGAGTCATTGTGTGGCTACTCCTTGGCCCTGTGCCAGGGCACAGTGGCGATAAAACAGACCGGGACCCCTTCACAGAGCTTCCCCATGAGCAGTGGGGACAGAGGTCACATGCATACATTACAGTTAAAGACCGAACAATAACAGTCAGGCAGAGGGCTGTAAGGGAACGGATAGGGTGCTTTGGGCGTGGCCAAGTCTTCAGGTGTCCATGGGCTTTGCAGGGAGGGCCTGAGCCCTTTTCCCTCCCTCTGCCTGTCCTGGAGACCCTCCCAGACTCCTCTCCTCACTCTCCTGCTTTGTCTCTCCAAGAATTGCTTCCCTGCCTGGCTAATTCCATAGGAGCCAAGGAGATGGGAGAAAGTGAGGGAGGTTGTGAGTGCTTAGAAAATCACGAAAGCTGCTGCCCCAGGCTCCAGGCTGGTTGCTCCGCCAGCCCTCAGTTCCAAGGCCTCTCCCATAGCTGTGACAAAAGAGGGTTTCCTCTCCTCTGCCACATCCATCTGGCAGCCGCAAATCCGTTTCTGGACTGCCTTCACCTCCCAGACGTGCCATGCAAAGCCTAATGGATGGAGCTAGTTTTCCTTTCCAGTTTTTAATTACTTAGTGGGACTTGTTTTTCTTTATCTCCTTAAGGGGAAAATTTGAGACTTAATTTTGATAGGGAAAGGGTGCCCCAGGATTTATAAATGGGGTTGCCAAGCTGCCTCTGGTTGAAGGCAGATAGGGAAATTGAACAATGCATCTTAGAGGTGTTTATTAGCATTCTGATGAAGACAAGTGAAGGATCTGAAAGGAAATCTTCCAGAAGTGTTGGTAATTTGTCCCCTGGATAAATCAATTGCTCTTTCTACAAAGCACATTTAGCCTCCCTTTTCAGAGTCCAGGCTTCAAAAGGGGCCCCGCTGGATGCATACATGTCTCATCCCCAGGTACGTGGCAACAGACTCAGTAAGCACCCCTGAATGAGTTCAGTTGTCACCTACAGCCTTTGGGGGGCCATGAGGAGTGTTTGAGAAAAGCTACAGGTATTCTGTCCAGGACAGTGCATCACCACAAAGGTAAACACAGTCTGATGTGTACTTTAGGGTTTGCAGGTCCCCTGAAGTCCACCCACGGCCCCTCACACAGAGCCCAGGTGCAGAACTCCTGGAGCAGAGTGCATGTCTGTAAAGCCCCCCGAACACACAGTGCAGTGTGCCCCCGGCACTTGTCAGATGCCTCTGTTTCCTTCTCGTTTGAGCACAGGGTGGTGGTGGTCCCAGGAAGGCCCAGGTATGGAGCCACATTTTAGTGTGTCTTCTCTAGTCACCCATCTTGGCTGCCAGGGGCCAACAAATGTGGGCTTTCCCCCTCTCCCCGGAACTTGGGAAGATGTGGCGAAACCGGGCCTGTATTCTTGTGGCGACAACTGGCTGGGCTGAGTGCTGGAGGCCTGCTTTAGGTGGGGAGCACCGCTGTCTGGTTTGTTGTGGCTCCCCTCTCTGTCTCCTCGGTGCTGGGAATACCTGAGTTCTATTCATCACCCATTTGATCTGTTCTTTTCTTAGAACAGTTAACTAAAACACTTTTGTCGCTGAAGATGTATATCATGAAACACAAGCCCCCCCATACATGTACCTGCATAAAACACACGCACGTGCATGCGCGCACACATAGTTTACCCTCCCAGGGTGTAGGCAAGTCATCTGAGTTTGTGACCCTCCTCCTCCTCTCTATAGGGCTGCTCTGAGGGTTCAGTGGCCTGGCATATGCAGAGCCGACAGCAGACAGCACGGTTCCTGGTACAAGGCAAGTAAGTGCTCACTTGCTACATCCAGCTGGTAGTGTTCAAAGTGGGTGTTTCCTTGGAGCCTGTGGCCCTCCTAGAATCCAGTGGCATCTCCCCAACCTGCTCAGAATGGGTATTGTTTGGAACTGGGGTGCCCTCTGGTGGCTGCTCTCCCCACTCACACCTAGGCCCTGTCTTCAGAGAGATTTTTGGCTCCATTCCCCCAGGCACCCTGCCCCTCCCACACGGGGGGAGAGGGAGAAAGGTGGGGCTGAGAAAACGTTCTGCCTCCCTCACCATCTCCTGTGCCTCTCTTCTGAGCTTGGCAAGGTCGGAGTCACTAGGTCTGGGATAGGAGGAGGGGTTTGGAGGTGGGGGTCCTGGCCACCTGACTCTCAGGAGGTTGGTTCCTTCCCCTCTCGAGTCTGCCCCATTCTCCTCCCAGACAAGTGCTAGTCAGTGGGCTCCCAAGGCCACCCCCAGGCGGGGCACGGGACAGAATGGCAGGAGGCTGGAGGGGAGGGCAGCACATTTGCAGAGCGTCCCAGGCTATTATGAGGTAATTTTATTCCTTTCCATTTTAGGTAAAAATAGTAAATACAAGATAATAAAGGTAAAAATACATCATTTGGATTTTGTTGTTCTCCGAACGGTGCTACCTACAGTACAATTTTTGATTTAAGATCTTTAAACTTTTTTTTTTTTTAAATAAACAAATAGAACTATTTTACTATTAGGCTATCTGTGTTCTCATCTGGCACTTAAGTATAGATCACAGGTCACCTGCCGGTTCTGTTTGGATGTGTGTGGGTGGCAGGGAGGAGGAGAGAAGGGGCACGTGGGCTGAAGTGGTTCGTCTTCCCAGGACACAGACAGAGCGGCGTTCCATGTGCTGTGGGAGGGTGCATGTGCATCCAAGAAGGCCTTTTCCTGCACTGGCCCCCGGACGTATGTCACTGTGGCTGGGCCGACGGTCTCACACATGCGTGTGTATGGGGGGCACTTCCCCCCTCCTCCTGCGGTCATGTTTCTCACCCAATAGCCTAGATTCACAACAGTTCTGGGTCCAGGAAGGCCACTGGGCTGCAGATGTCAGCAGAGCTGCTCAGGATGGAGCCTTAGTGTCCTAGAGGAGTGGGCCTGGGACCCCTCCCCACCAGGGCTGGTGGCCAGGACATTCAACCTGGCCTTGGAATGCTGGTAGAAGTCACAGATGCTCATGTCGGCGGCTAAATGTCTTTACCCTTGTTCACCCTCAGGTGGTCTTTGTTTAAATTCTTCCCGAATTTCTCACTGAGCTGTTGGATCAGGTCTGCCAGCTCGCCAGTAGCTTGGGACTTCTCTTCCAGAAGTTCATAGCGCAGGCTGGAGATATCTTGCTTGATTTCCTTCAGTTCGCCTGCAAGGACAGATGAAATTTTGGTGAGTGTTGAGTGGACAGAAGGGAGCCATCTCACCTGAGTTTGGGGCGTGCATCTTTCCAGCAGGCTCTCAGATTGCTGGGCCAGCCCCCCAGGGGTGGAGGTCAGGGGACCAGAACTCTGTTTTGACCTAAGTACCACCTCGCTCCTGCCACTGAAGGACACGTCATCCATTTGAGACCTTTCCCCTCTAATTCCTGGTCAAGCTCTTGTTAAGGGTCTGAGGTAGAAGGAGGCGTCAAGATTAGGGTTGTGAACTGCTATCACCTGTTTCACGTCATGATTGTTAGAATGTTGGTTTTGGAGCCATTAAAGGCAGATTTCAAGATTCCAAGGACCACCCTCATTAACTGGAACACTTGTTTCCATGAGGCTCCATGTGTTGTTCTGTTGTCGTTATTTGCAGAGGGGAGAAACTCCCAAGTGTGAAGGGAGAGGCTTGGCACGGCGGACGCAGCCGTGGAGCCCGGCAGCCTTGCCAGAGCAGGGTCCATCCAGACCATGCAGGCAGCACTGCCTCACCGAAGCACTGTGACAGGCCTGCTGCCTCTTTTTCCGTAGCAAGGGACCACCAGGTGAGACTTCAGCTTATTTCTGCAGTGAACCACGTGGTTAAACGTCCACGTGCGCCAGGGCTGTGGGAGTCTTTTTATTAACTACGAAGGGGTGTCGAAAGGTTCTTTCCCAATGTTTTAGATACGGGGCTTGACTCAGATGGGAGTCTGCTGCCCGGGGACCATTGTTCATATCTGTTTTCTAGATAGGCTTTACATAGTACAGTGCAGAGATCTTAAAGGTGCAGTCTGGTCAGTTTCGACAGATGCAGACATCCCTCTCTTGTCGTTTGGCGCTCCACTGAGCTCGCTTCATGGTGTAATCCTAGTGGCACGAAACCTGGGCAGCCTCACTTTCTATAATCAGGCATCTCCTTGTCCATCACAGTTACACACTGCTGGCCGGCCTGACACCTGGCAGTTTTATGTTCGAGACCCAAAAGTATGGGTGGATAAAAGGGCAGTTGCTTGGCCCCTAGACAGTGTCAGCCTAGGGGTGATGCCCCGGGATGAAGCGGAGGGTCACTAATGATGACCAGGCTCTTCCGTAGGCCCTGGTGGCCTAAGCGAGGGGGAGATTTAGTGCCTTCATTTGTGGAGGAGGCTGTTTCTAGGTAGCAAATATTTGTCCTTGGTGTCTCATGTAGATTAATTGCCTGGTATAAAGTAATTTGTTTTTTACTTAAGAGTAACTGCTTAAAATAGACTGGGAAATAACCCAAACAGTGAAAATAATGTAGTTTGCAAACTTCTGCATGCGTCAGAATGACCTGGTGCTCTTATCAAAATGCAGACCCCCGGGCGCCACCCCAGAGAAGCGGAATAATTGGGTCTGGGGGTGGTCTGGGATGTGCATTTTTAACAAGTGACTCTGAGGCAGGGGGTAGGGGTACTTTGAGAAACACTGGGGTTGTCAGATTCTGAGAGCCCGGATGTGAGACAGGACGGAGCCAGCTGCAACCAAGGCAGTGGCAGAATCTGAAAGAGGTGTACGGTCTGCAGCTCTCTGCGCTTGCTCCCATGACATGGAGAATTCTGGGCCACCCTGAAATCAAGGGCCATGAGACCGACTCAAGGCAGCCATCACTGTGGTAGGCAGAATGATTACCTCGCCCCGCAAATGGGTCCAGGTACTGATCCTGGGGTCCTGTCTGTGGGTGTGTTATGTTACACAGCAAAAGGGAACCATGGTTGCAAACGGAATTAAGGGTGCTGATCAGCTGACCTTAAACAGGAGATTATTTTGATTTATCCAGTCTAATCACAAGCCTTTAAAAGTGGGAGAGGAAGGCGGAAGAGTGGGTCTGAGAGATGTGGTGACAGCAGAGGCAAGAGAGGTGACAGCACGAGAAGGGTGGATGCTCTGTTGCTGGTTCTGAGGTCAAGGGGCGACGTGCAGACTGGAGGGCGGTCTAGGTTAGAGCTACAGGCTGCTCCAGCTGACAGCCAGCAAGGGAACAGAGACCTCGGTCCTACAACCACACGAATCGCCTTCTGCCAACACCCAGATGAGCAAGCAGACCGAGCCTCCCCGGGGCCTCCAGACAGGAACACAGCCCTGCTGACAACACCTGGATTTTAGCCTGGTGAGACCATGTCCAATTCCCATCGAGCTACAGGAAGATGATCTAATCCCTTACCTTCATTGACTTCATCGTTTTCTCTGTCCACCTGGGCCTTCAGGACGTATCTTTTTATGAGCCGTTTCATGATTTTCTGAAATGTGAACACAAGGCATCAGACAAGCCTGGCCAAGCACAGAGGCAGCTGGCATGGTGTATGCACGATCCTTCACTCCTGCAGAGCCCAGTCAGCTGCTGGGAGTCCTCCCATGCCTGATGCCTCGCTTTTGAGAGGTGTCCTGCCTAGTTGGGGAACCTGGGCCAGTCTCTCTGTTTAACCTCTTCCCCCAGGATTTGATACCACCTGGCCCTGGGATATAAGAACAGGACACTCAATGGCACGAGACTGAGCCAAAGAGAGAGAGAATCATCTAAAATGAATGGGTGCTGCTTGAGGGTCCAAGGCCTGATCCGACCCTTCTTTGTGGCCTCTGCCAGTCATCTCCTCTTCTGAGGCTGCAGCTCTGAAACGCTTTCTTCTAGTTCAACAACCGCTGTGCTCAAGAGGGCGTACCGAGGTCTTAGCCGGCCAGCCCAGGTGGAGCTGCGTCCCTGTGAGATGCTGCGCATGAGCGGAGAGTCAGGACCAGGCTTGGAGGACAAGCCCAGCGCACCTGGGAAAATTCCTACCAGAGGCAGAAATAGATACAGCTGGGTCTCGAGAAGTTTTGCCAAGATACCACTTTACTGAAAACCCGCATGCCTGACTCTGCGCCCCTAGGCATGCTGTAGGGGAAGGGTTGGCCTGCAGGTTCACTTACCACACAGACACTGGGTTCTTTATGCAAATGACGCATGAACAAACATTTAAGAGACACCAATAATAGAGCCAAGTGCAAGACCACAGGGAGTGAACTTTGGATTTTGCCAGTTGTGGTTCCAAGGTTCCTGTGAAATCACAGGATTTAAAAATATTCTGGTAGCTGAGACTTCTCAATCTTGCAAGAGATGAGCAGTAAGGCAAAGAGGGAGGAATTCCCTGCTCCTTGGTTGTCCCTTCCTGTTCACCTGCGCACACTTGAGGATGGAGGGAACAGAGGCAGCATTTTCTAGATTGAAGGGACCTGAATTCTGTCCCCAGCTTAGTTGTGGGACGTCAAGCAGGTTGTTAAGTTCTCTCTGACGACATGGACTCAGGAAAAGCTTCTTGCAAGTAAAAGAAGTGAACGGCTGGGGTGCGAAGAGCTGGAGGATTTAACTTATTATTATCAGACGGGGGCTCTCGCAGTGCCTTTGGTGGTGAAGACCTTGCCGAGAAGCTGTCTCCTGGTCCTGAGATTCCGAGGCTTGGACTGAACCTGGCAAAGGTGCTCCAACAGCAAGCTTTGGGTCAGCCCACTTAGGCCAGCGCCGCCCCTCCTTGGCCCTCGGTGAGCTGGTGGTCCACTTGGCTCTGTGGTTTGAGTTGTAATCTGATTTGTGGCTGAACAGTTAATTAGCAAGTTGCCTTCCTGCTGTACCTTCTCAGAGATGCCTGGGTCTTGTCATGTTAGTGGTTAAATTGAAGCATTAGATTTCTTGTTGACATTAATAGGGCAAGTGACCTAAGTTACAAGAATATATACCTTTCCAGGGGACTCATTAATGCTTTTTATTTATTTATTTTTTTACTTTAAAGTGGAGAAATAAAACAAAACTGTCCTGAACCAGTCTCATGGGAACACAAAAACAAAACAAAATAAAGCAAAACAACTCAGATATCCAAGTATCTAACATTCTTACTGAATAAGGAATTCAGAAGTATTCTTCCACTGCAGACTTTCAGGCTGACGCAAGTTAAGGGGAGATCTAATTCAAATTTGTTGCCTTTCAAGAATAAGCCCAAGAATTGAGGGTTTTTAAGTTTCTGGGTCCCTAAGTTTACATGTCTTCATTGGTGGCAACTGGGCCTACCCTGCCTCTTTCATTTAGCAAGTGCTGGAAATGAGTATATTTAGTGATGTTATTCAGGCAAAAGAATTACTGCTGAGAGACACAGTGGGTAAGTATGGTCGTGACACTGAGACCTCTCTCTCTCCAGGGTAGGAGGCATACAGTTCCCCCTGACTAGACTCCAAGGGCCCAGTGCCTTTGGCTACTGCTGTTGAAGAGAAACCTGAAGATCTTTCTATGGAAAGATCCTCTCTGTGCAGCTGGGGGCAGCTAAAGACATAGACAAGGAAGAGAAAGAACACACATGGTATATTGAAAATGGCAAACAAAGTAGAGGGATGCAGTGTTGTCACCTAGGAAAACAGAAATTGAGGAACATTTGGAAGTGAATAAAACGCATCCCAGGACAAGTGATGTGTTAAACTGGGTTTATCAGACACTGAATAGAAGGATTTAGCACTGTCAAGTTGTCTATCTTATTTTCCTTGATTTCTATGGAAAAGGCCATCTAGAAGGTGAAAAAGAGGACTCCTCACTGGGTTTTGGGGAAGGATTGTATCATCAAGGTTGGGGCTTATTTGAATGATGGACTGTGCCTGGATTCTGTGGTTCATTTGGGATGTGGCTTGTTTGCTGTGCCCATGCAGGAAGTATACCTCTCAGAGAGCGAGTCTGTGGGGTCAGTACACACCCCAACAAATTGACCCACTGGATCTTGGAAAGGTCACAGGGCCCCTCTGATAGGAGGCACACTTTGCCACACCAGTATCATGATTTTGTTCCATTGTTTAGTCTCATGTCCACAGAACCCAGATTGGAAAAAACATTGCAAAGGCAAGGAACCAGTTTTGTGAAAAAACAAAAAACAAAAAACAATTTGTCTCTTGGAAGGTGAAGAAAGCAAAGCACAGAGAGCCTCTGAAGTAGTTGCCTTCCTTTACAACAGGGAGCCCCGCTCAAATCAGGCTCAACAAGCTTGAAATAAACACCTAAAGCACTAAGGCTGAGCAATCAAGCAGATCTACCAAAGAGACAGAGGGAGCAAGCTTCAAACCCACATGTGTAAGAACAACGGGGCTTTTTTCTTATTGGGAATGTCAGAACCATAACAGTGACAGAGGCTGATTGCGTTTGTGCTCAGTGAGGTGGCAGCTCTAGGTGCAGCCTGGATAGTAAGAAAGAGAATGAGCTGCCCCCGACCTCTGCACATTTGGAAGTTGCTTTGGGAGGAGGGCAGTGCAGCTGGGAGGCCACCATGAGCCCAAGAAGACAGAGGAGCCATTGTCAGGTCCTTGCCCTAACCTTTCACTCCGCTTCTCCGGTAAGAGCAGAAGTACCTCCTTCCACTCCTTGCCTCCTCCCCTCAGGCTGCAAGGGCTCAGATAGATCTCCTAGTGACTGTCCAACAGGCAGGGCAGGCTCCAAGGCAGGCTGTGATGTGACACTGTGAAGGGGGATGATGGGCCAGCACCTGGGCAGTGTGTGCAGTGAAAGACGGTGCCCTTCTGAATCAGATCTCAGCTCAGCCAGCCGTGTGATCTCCGCCACTGAGCCTCAGTCTTCTCATCTGGTAAACGGGGTTAAAGATAATGCCTCTCTCAGAAACATAGTGTGATAACACAAGGGCTAGTGTCTAGTCTGCTCTCAACTGTCCTTTTGTGTCATCTCAAGGTTTACTCCTGTTCGAGCAGACGATGGCTCGGGAAGATGCCTCGACCTCACTGAGCAGGGCTGAGCAAAGTACAAATGTGTTAATGCAAGATGCTCTCTGTTCCTGTTTACTGTCCTCCACTGCTAAGGTCCAGTTTTCCTTTCTTCTTTCCTGTGACAACACTTTGACTAAGTAGCCCCAGGCTTTTCATGGTGGATTCAGAAAATACTGGGTGAGCAAGCTTTCCAAGGTCATCGGTAGCCCGAAGCTGCAAACCAACCAGTCACCAATCACAGCAGGAAGCTCTCAGGGAGATGGAAGGCTGCCAGGACTCAACCAGTGTTGATGGAAGACAGAAATGGGATCCCCCCGACGCGGCTTTTGAAAATGGTCTCGCTTGGAAAGAATTCATTCTGGGTACAGGACATTCATCACGTAATGAGTCTTCCTTCTTCTCAGCATCTGATTCTGCTCAAAACTCAGGAGAGATTTGGCCCTAACTCGCTGTCTATCTTTTCAGTGACACAGATAATCTAAAATTTCCTCTGAGAACCTGAGAAATAAAAATTCTTCCACTGACCCAAGAATTTGACCTGTCTAATAACTCAAAGTGGATCAAACTGGTCAGGCCCAATTTTGTGCACAATCAAATATAAGATTTCCCCCTTGCCCATTTTTAGCCCATGTCATCTGATAATACTAGAAGTACTTTGAGGGATGAGCCATTTCTTAATTGTATACCTAAGTCCTAACTATACAGCTGGCTTCTAAAATACAGATGGAGATTCAATTAGAGACCTGCGTCTGGAAGATGCCTAATCTGTAATTGTTCCCTCTGGGATGGTGGCACTAGGGACGCCTCTCCTTAGCCCAAAGGAAAGCTCAGAACAGCTTCGAATTTACATCTGACACCAATGACCAGCATAGATGACACTGCTAATCATTGGGAAGGAGAAAGCAGAAAAAGAATGGCCTGAACTTTTATAATCAATAACCTGTAGTTAACATTTATCACTGGCTCACGGGCTGATTCAGACTGATAACAGAGATTTGACAGTAATTTCCAAAAGCAATGAAAGGGCTGCAAGCATAAAAGGTCATCTTCTAATTTTCATAACAGACTTTGCAGGCTGGCAGTCTAAGGTCAGGTACTCACTGAAGACACCAATAGCCACCTGGTTGCTTCAGACAAATACCTGGGAGTCAGGCTGCCTCTCCCTACCCCACACCTATTGGCACGCCTCAGGTCCCATTCATTGGCTCTATGTCCAGAATCTGTCTGCTTTTCTCCACATCCCATTCCAAGCCACCATCCGTCGCACCTGGATGACTGTCCCGTTCTCTTCACTGAGCTCTCTGCTTCCACTCTTGTCCCCACGTGTCTCCTCATTACAGCAGTTAGGTGGGCTTCTTAAAGCATAAATAAAATTGTATCATCTTCTCTTTCCCGAAAGTGAAACTCCTCCCACTGCCTTCCTCGATAAGGCAGAGTGAAATCTACATCCTAACCTCAGTCTGGTCCCCTGCTTCCTTGCTGACCTCATCACCCTCTCCTCTGCCCTGCTGGCTGGGCTCCAGCTGCTTTGGACCTGCCAAGCTTCTCCCCTCTAGTTTTTGCTGGTGCGTTTCCTCTGCCTGGAAGGCTCCGCATGCTGCCTCCTTTGCATCCATGAGGTCTTAGCTAACTGCCCTCCCCTTGCAGGAGCCGCCTCTGAGAACCATATCTAAGCAAGGGCTCCCAGTTTTTCTTCATTTCTCCAACCTATTGTTTTCTTCTTTATCCCCAGTAAGTAGTTTAGTGCCTGGCATATTGTAGGCACTCAATAAACATTTGTTGAGTGAAGGAAGGAAGGAGCTATGTTTTGGGGGGACGACACAACCATGTGACTGAATCTATGTCTTAATTGACATAGATTAATTCTGCCCATGCTTGAGAAATAGGTAATTACCTGGTATCTGGTGGGTTTGCTGAAAGTGTTATTTACTGTCAGGTTTTCAGAATTCCTCATGCCAGCCTGGTAGCGAGTCTTCTGGAAAAAAAAAAAAATACATGCATACACAATACATCATACATACATACATACATGCATACATACATGCATACATACATGCATACATACATGCATACATGGTAGGACTCGAATGGCACCCACATATGGGGCTGTCTCTAAAAAGAGGACCCTCGGAAGATTGATAATGCTCACTGCTGCTTGGCTTCCTCGGACACTGTTCCTGGGGACTCTAGTTCTGTGGGATGTCAACAGGTTACACATATGGTTTGGTCAACTTTGGGAAGCACTGAGTTAAAGTTGCCCGGGACGCTTTTCTCCAGGCCTCCTCAGAAGTTTTAACATGCTCATAAACATTGAGACACTCCAGGAGGAGGAGATAATGGCCAGGGAACCTCTCTCCCCAGAGAGCATCCTCCAGTTCCACTATGGGAAGAGCGATTCCACTTCTGAGCCCACTAAAGAGTGTCCCTCACTGGGGCCAGGGCTGCACCTCTCCAGGGAGTTGCAAGGAGCGGGGGAGCCACCACAGGGAGCCTCCGCTGGTGCCGCAGCTTTGCTGATGTGCCCCCTTTTCTGAAAAGCATTGGCCCCTCCCAGTGCCTGGTTCCCCTTGTATCAGTGGCCCCCCTCCGAATCCGATGCATACAGCCCCCTCCTCCCGCTCCTGCCACCTTCTTAGCCCCATAAACACCATGCTACCTACCCTGAATTTGGAATTCAGCATGCCCATTTCAAGGTCATTTTCACAGCTTTTGGCCTTAGATTTGCAGAGTTTTATGAGGCACATCTTGATTCTCATTATGAGATAATAAAATGATTTAGGACTTGGCACTAGATTAAAAGGAGCAGGTAAAGTTCTTCCTTCATCAAAATAAGACAGCCAGAGCTTTGCTCGCGCAAATTTCCACTCCACGTCTGCATCCTCCTGTGGAACAAGGGAAACAACAGCCCGCCGTCAGAGGCCGTGATCTAACGACTGAGTGCAAGGCGAGGCGTGGGGCTGCAGCCCGCCAGTCCTGAGAGCAGGGGCTAAACGGGACTCTGATGGATACATTTGTGGGTCTTCTCTCCGCTCTGGATGGGGAGTTTGCTCTCGCTGAGACCGTATGCATAGTCATTCCTAAACATCTTCACCTAACCTCGTGGGTTCATCGCTGAAAACCTCAGCTGGTGCATCCACCCTTATTCTCCAGTGGGTGCTTTCACCAACGTTTTCCACTTGCCACTTACCAGAGAACTTTGCTCACTGCCGTTTAATCTTCTCATCCGTTAGCACTTACAGCTCTGCTAGCTTATTCACCAGCCACCACGTTAATCTTTTAGAGCAATGCTGCCCCACAGCAATATGATGCGAGCCACGAAGGTGAACCACATAGGTAAACAAATTTTCTAGGAACCACATTGTTAAAAGTAAAATGGAACAGGTAAAGTAATTTCAGTGATATGTTTTATTTAAACCAGTAGACCCCGAATATTATCATTTCAGCATGTAATCATAAAAAAATTATTAATGAGATAGCTCACATTTTTTTTTTCCTACTGAGTCTTCAAAATCGGCATGTATTTTATACTCATAGCACATCTCAGCTTGGATTAGCCACATTTCAGGTACTCAATAGGTACATGTGGTGAGTGGCTCCCATATTGGACACCACAGTGTATTTCTTATTAAAAAGTGTACTTCCTGTGGGTCAGAGTGCTGCCAGTGAAGAGATTCTGCACATGCAATCCAAGGGAACGAACCTGACTGTAGTTAGTCCGGCCACGCTCTTTTCCCCGGTGGTGGTGGTAGATGGAAGGCCCAGATCTGCTACTTCTGACCTGGTGTCAGTGCTAGAATGCTGAGTGGGCCCCCTAAGGAGTAGCAGGTATGTTTTTTCTTTTTTTTTTTTTTTTGTAGGCCAGCCCCTTTGGCCTCTGACCTAGGAGAGTGGTTTCAGACCAGACATGGGATTTAGGATCAGAGAGACCTGGGCTCACAACCCCTTACTAGCTGTGTGACTTTAGGCAAGGGCCTTGGGCTTACTCATCTGAACATGGAGATGATCCCTCACATAATCCTGACGTTGGCATTGAGTATGTGCTCCATGGGCGATGGAGTCTTCTATGCATAGCTACACTCAAGGGGCTGTGAACCTGGAAGGCACCGGCAGGAAGCCGCAGGGATGTGCCACGAGATACAAGGTCATTACGAGCAGGCTCGATTATGTTTGCTTTTGCAGAGACCCCACCAGCACCTGGCCTGGCCTCTGGGACATCCTATATGGGTCTTTTAGACTGGAAGCTTTGTGAGGGCAGAGGTCACTTCCGGTATAATAGAGAGGTGTGACAGGGACTTGAGCGGAAGGGTAGTACAGTGGTGAGAGCACCGGCTCTGGAGCCTGCTTGGATTCAAATCCTGGCTTTGCTCCTTACGAGCTGTGTAACCATGGCAGGTGACTTAGCTGCTCTGCGCCTCATCTGTAAAATGAGGATAATAATACCTACCTCATAGATTGTGAGAATTAAAGGAGTTAATGCCTGAAAAACAGTGTCAGACACTTAGTAAACCCTCAGTAAATATTTTTTATCTCGATCGCTTAACACAGTGCCTAGTGTTCAACCTTTAGTTATTTAGCAAATACTAATCCAGCACCTACTGTGTGCCTGGCATGCGCTGGGCAGATACTGGCGATGACAGTCCACACCCTCGTGGAACACATAGTCTGGCCAATTACATGAGCATGTTAAACAATACCTCAGCTCGTCTTTTATCTAGAGTTGTGCTAAGAGCCATGGGAGGCTCCGGCCCCTGGCCTGGCCCAGGGGTCAGGGAAGGCTGCTCCGGCGGCTGGTGTTTGAGCTGAGATCCAAGCGGTGAGTATTTCTCAACCAGGTCAAGTGTGGGTAGGAGTGGAGGGGTGGAGAAGAGTAGGAGTCAATTAGTGGAAGAGGCAGTGAGAAATATAAACAATTCTTGAGAAAGTTGGCAGTAAAGAGCAGGAGAGAAAAAGTTGAGAGCTGGAAAGTGAGATCGAGGGAGGATTTTTTTGTAGTTACTTTTTAAGATCAAGAGACTTATTTAAATGCTGACAAGGAGGACTAGAGAGAGAGGGAGCAGGGATGATGCAGGTGGAGCAGGGATAATGGTGGCTCCTGAGGAGGCGAGTGGGCAGGGTACGTGGGCTGGGCTGCACCGATGAAGACGCAAGGCTGGTGGGGCATGGTGGGTGCAGAGACAGGTGAGTCTGCGGATTTGCGCAGTAGGTGCTCAAGATCTGTTGATTGAATAAGTAAGTGTTCTCACGGAAGGCTTTACAAATATGTACTTCATCAAAGTTCATGTGACCATGAACAGTGGGCACTTTCTGGTGGCCTCATTCCACTTTTCTTGGTCCTTGTACCACCAGTGAGATGGGTGGGAGATATGTGCTCTCACCTGAGAAGGAGAAGCCCAGAGCCTGGAGGGGAGGTGTGGGCGGCAGCGTGCTCTCTCCATCTTGTGACACCATGCTTTGGTGAGATGATTTGAAATCGAAAGCCATAGGCTTGCCTGCTCTTGTCATGGTCTTCCCTCATGTCAATCGTGTGGCTTTACATGCCACATTCATCTGGACCAAAGCAGGATGTGCTCATTGGGGGAAACTGAGGCCCAGAAGGGCAAGAGGGACTAGTTAGCAATAGCTCATCCACAGAGGTGACCAAATATGTATAGCGCTTTAAAAAAAATATGTTTTTCTATCGAAGGAGTGCTGTATTTTCTTGGGGGGTCGTAGGAGTGGGGACTAAGGCTTCATAGCTTGGCTTACCTCTGCCTTGCACTTCTTGCTACTTTTCCCTGAACAATCTACAGTCTTGCAGTCCCAAGTATACCGCATCGTTTCACCCCTCCCTGCCTTGGCACATGTTTCTACTGTTTAAAATACTCTTCTTTTGGGGTGGTATTATGGACCAAATGTGTCCTTCTAAAATTCACATGTTGAGGCCCCAGTGTCTTAGAATGTGACTGTACTTGGAGATAAGGCCTTTAAAGAGGTAATTAAGGTTAAATGAGGTCATAATGGTGGGGCCCGAATTCAATATGATCGGTGTCGTTATAAGGAGAGGAAGAGACACCAGAGATGCAAGTGCACAGAGGAAAAGCCATGTGAGGACACAGCAAGAAGGTGGCCATCTGCAAGCCAAGGAGAGAGGCTTCAGGAGAAACCAACCCTGCCAACACCTTGATCTTAGATTTCCAGCCTCTAAAACTGAGTAAATAACTTTCTTTTGTCCAAGCCACCAGTCTGTGGTATTTTATTATGGCAAACCCAGCAAACTAATACGGGTGGGGGCGGCGGGGGGAGGTGTTCTTTATTTTTTTCTCTATGAGAAATACACAAATAATTGTTTCTTATAAAAAAATATTTAAGTACAGAGGTATACTCAGCACATGCGAAAGTCCCCTTTCAAGTCTCCTCTCTCCTTTTACTCCTTCCCCAGAGGATGCCCAGGGTCAAGGGTGTCAAAAGTTTCTCTACCTTTTCTTTCTGTATATTCACATTTGCATTAATGCAAGTAAGATCTGCTTATATTTTTCTACAACTTGTGTTTTTTCACTTAACATTATCATAGGGATTTCGCTATGTCCACACAAAAAAGTTCTTCTCATTGTATGTACCGTATTATATATGGTATTCTCAAGTCTACACTGTATCACAGTTTATTTAAATATTCTGATATCGATGAGCTACCCCCAAGCTTTTCTTTTAATAAACAACTGTGCAAAATCATATTTCCGCATGGATCTATTCCTCGAATTGGAATTGTTGAGTCAAAGGGTTAGGGCATTTTATTTTTGTTTTAATTTTTAGTTTATTTATTTAACTTTATTGTAAGTAAAACAATACTATGATTTCTAAAGGATAAAAAGGTATAACCGGAAAGGCATTCCAACGACTACAACCCCCAACCCCATCTCTCAACAGGCGCCCCTGCTGTGCGTTTCTTGTGTACCCTTTCAGAGGCTTTTTTTCTTTTTCAAATGCTTATACAGTCAAAACTGAATATGCATTCCCTTTTCTTCCTCTTACACAAGAGAGACTACACTATATGCCTTGTTCTGTGACTTGATTTTTTTTTCACTTAACACTCTAACTTGGAGGTCTTTCCAGATCAGTATATAGAAAGCATCTTTATTCTTTTTAAAAGCTGCACAGTATGTCACTGTTCAGATGCATCATAATTATAATACATTTAACTGAATTCCTGTTAATTTCTTGCTGTTCTAAAGAAAGTTTCCATAGCTTATGGTTTGTGCGTTTTAGATTTTGATAAATTGCCTCCTGATACTCTCTCTCGACTCCCTTATCTCTTTGGCAAAATTGTATTCGTCTTTGAATGGCCTTCAAGCATCACCTCTGCAAGCTTCCTCCTCCCATAGCCAATCATAGTCTCTGCTTTGCACTTCCTGCACCAGGTAAGACTTCTCTGGGTGCACTGGCCCCAGGGCATTGCAATTTGTTGATTGACGTGTCTCTTTTTCTCAGTGGACTGAGTTGAGGGCACAGACTGTGTCTTAGTCAGTTTTGTATTACTAGTGCCTAGCACAGGCTTTGCATACAGTAGGTGCTTAAGAAATACATGTGAGTCAGAAGAGAATGTGGGCTGAAACATGTAGCCATTCTGATTTGCCATGGGCACCTGCATGCTGTCCTGAGGGGATACATGTAAAAGAGGAAAGATTCACAACCCTGATCCTTTTTGCCCTTGTTGGGCCACTTGATGTGGTGCCTGTATTGCCATGTGGCTGGTTGACTGGAAGTGCTTCTTGGAGCAATCCAGGAAAAATGCCTATTGCTTGCTGTTCTGGCTTCACATTAAACAACACCCAGGCTTCTAAGGTCATTTACCTTCATTTCTGAAAACAGCAATCTAAATTAAACCAAGGGGAGAGAGAGCACGATCAGTTAACTGGTCTTACCTCAATTTCCTGATATGAGTTGTTGATCATGGCTATGAGCATATTGAGCAGCACTACCACCATGGTGACGTTATAAACGCCGTAGAGAACGTAGCCGATGTTCTCGATGAATTTGTGGTCGTATTTCAGCACCACCGAGATCACTTCAGACAAGCCGAAGATGGACCAAAATAAGGTTTTAAAACTCTCCTCAACCCTGCAAGGAAACGGGCAGTGCTTTCAGGCAGATTGCATCAGCTAACACTTTTCCTAAGAAAGTTGCCATTATCCAGATGTTAGTGGTTACCTTGGACTGGGGCTGGGACTTGCTGGTGGTGCTCGTGTTCTGAAATAATGAGGTATTCAGATTTCTAAGAAGACTTTGAAGGAGTGTTAAAAAAGGGCAGTGTCTTTCTTTTCCGTTCAGTCGATTTATTGCGACTCTTGGTTGTGGTATCATTTTTATCTTGTAATTAAACTTTAAATTAAATGCCAGGGCAAATGTGTGCTCTTATATGGTATTTGGCTTCTCAGAAGCACACTCTTCCTTTAGTAGTGTCTTGAGCCTCTTCTCAGACTACCTAGCCCCACGTGAAGGGGAAGAGGTTGGTGTCCGCTGATGGTGCTGGTGTCATTGGTGACGGGGACCTCCTGGGCACTCAACACAAAGCAGCTCACTAAAGCCTCATGACCGCCTCTGCGGTTGGCTCACTTATTACCTCTATTTTACAGAGGGGAGCATTGACGCTCAGAGTCTTACATGCCTTTTCCAGTAGTGCTCAGCTGGAAAGTGGGGCGCAAATCCAGGCATGTCTGAGGTTTTCAAAGTGTGTACTTCTAACCACTATGCTTTACTTTACTACCCACTGGCCCTGGGATTGAGGCCAGCCACACATATTGAGTCCTCTAAACTGGGATTGAATTATTAGGAGTGAGAGTGGTGAGTTTAGTATGTCCTATTGTTGAAGTTCACCAGGTGACTGCCTACACCTAGCCCTGCAGCTCACTCAAGGCAGACACTGTATGTGCTTTGAGGGAAGTTTGGGGAAGATCTGGCTTTAAGGACACTGCTCTTTGATGCTTTGGAGACTATGAAGTTACCAAAATACACTGGTTTGAAGAGTAAGATCCAAACACATTCCATATTCTGTACTATGTGGCTCTGACCCTCTATCAGGTTAATATTCAATCAGCATAATATTCAATCAGCATAATATTCAAACAGCATAATATTCAATCAGAAAGCTGGATTTTGGTTGGGTGGTTTAGAACATGCACGTTTATCAGATGACATCTGAATGGCTAAGTGGTTCTTTTAGTTTGCATCCAGATCTTTGGTACAATTATGAGAAGGCACATTTTTTTTTCTCCTTAATATTTCAGATTTTCAACACTCACCCAAAAATGGCCAGGATTAGCTAGATCCCCCCCCCGCCCCCCAAAATCAGTGTTTCTTAAGGATTGGTATTTATTTGACAGGATGTACAAAAATACTAGTACTCGTCACTTTGGCTAAAAATTTCACTCTGACTCGCATGAATTTTCAGCTCTCTCATGTGTGAGTGTGTGTGGGCGTGTGTGTATGTGTATGTGTGTGTCTAGCCAGCTGTTTGGCGCATTCCC